CATCACATCACATCACATCACATCACATCACACTCCTATCACATTCCCATTACATTCCCATCACACTTCCATCACACTCCCACCATCACACTCCCACTACCATCACACTCCCACTACCATCAGACTACCATCAGACTACCATCAGACTACCATCAGACTACCATCAGACTACCATCAGACTACCATCAGACTCCCATTCCACTCCCATTCACCACATCACATCACATCACATCACATCACATCACATCACCTCTCTCTCTCTCTCTAACACACACTAAACAAAACAAAGAACACACAAAAAACTAAAAGAATACTGCTTCATGGTGAAGTTTTCATATACTGCAATTGCTGCACTATCCACTTTTACATCAGCCTTCTGTTTGTCCAACCTCCTCAGTTACCTCAAATTGACTTCTTTGAAATAGTACTCTCCAGTCCTTATGTTGGGGGGCACTTCTAGGAGTTTCAACTGCCAAATCCTTAACCACTTTTACATCAGATCTTGAAGTACATTATTTTGAGAGTACTGAAAACATATCTGCATTCTTAGGTTCCCTACTTTTGCTCTTATCAAAGGACAAATATTCCAGTTGTCTTTTTGTCTTGCCAGTATGAACAAACCATTCAGTAAAATTGATCTGATTGAGGGTGAGGCAAGTGTATTGATGGTAGTGCACCATTTTTTGTTGAGGGAGAGAGAAGAACTTGGGATAATATAGAAAAATAACAGAAGTGTTCAGGGAGAGAGTGGTCACAAATGTTTAGGCTCCAGATATATGCTATAAGCTGTCTTTGCGTCATGGTATTTGCACAAAATTTGTACATATTCTTTTACTCACTTTGCTCTGTCACCATTGGCTTACACCAACCCCATTCTCCAACAAATCAAGTATGAAGACTAAGCATTTTGAGGACCCCAGTACTTTCAAAACTTATTCCATTCCTGCATTTACAGCATTCAAAGAATTCTTGATTATTTGGGCTTCCTTTACAGTCAACAATTTTCTACCAGATGATATTGATACTTATTGGTGATATTTTCAAGGAAGAAGCAGCTGGCTTTGTTCCAACACTGAAGCACAACAACAGTGAATGTCAGGCTTGCATGTTGTAAATCACATACTTGAGTTCTGCAAAATTATTGAAAAGCCTGATGAATGTACCTCTTAAAACAGAACAGAGCACCATTTGACTGCAAGTTCCTTGTAAAAATCTTGTGGACTCGATGAAGGTTCTCCCAAGGAGCCTGGGAATAGTTCCTTTGCCACTATTGTCAGTCTCAGCCTCAGGGCCCCTGCACACTACTATGTTGATTTCAGTAAAGAGCCTATTGTTGCAGTTGCTGCTGCCCTGACTGCTGTTGCAAGAATGGGTGCTATTTGATAGCATCTTGCCAAATCCTAAGTTAACGCTTTGATGAGAAGAAAGTACTATCTGAGGTGAAGATTGGTAGTTTGATCACCAACCAAAAATGTGTACATGGTTTTTGAGATACTACTGGTACTACTGTACTATTACTAAAGATTATAAGTTCTTCAATTTTATTTCTTTGATTCATACAGAACAAGTACTGTCTACTTAGGAGTATTCAGCCTGGAGCAGTGGATAATAGTGGTGATGCAATGTGAAGGTACTACTATATGCTCCAGTAGTAGTGGTAATAATAGTAGTTGGCTCCTATTCCCCAATCGTGCTGGGGGGTTATCTAGTGGAATTCTTTCTTACCTCTTATATATCAATATGGGAACAACGAAACAAAGATCTTCATGGCTACACAATTACCCAGAAGCAAGCCAAGCATCGACAGCGGGTGGTAACGAAAGTCCGCACTCTGTTTGACCTGAAATCACAGACATGTCCATCCCATGCCCATCTCTTCCCAGAAGACATGGGAACCTTTTTATCAACTGCATCTACTTCTACGCTCTCATATTACCTTCGCGTCTATGAGAAAACGATTCTGGCAAGTGTCACCAAAGCAACACTTGCATCTGTCTCCAACAC